TTTTATTACATAAGAAATAATGTATTATATAAATATGTATTATAAAAATTTATTATAAAATTGTGTGCACATGTATATAAATGTGCATGTATGTATATAATATTAAAATACAATTAAATATTTTGTTCAGTTTCTAGATTGAAAACAAATTCTGTAGGATATACTTTGAGAAATTTTCACAACTTTTACAAAGATAATTACAAAAAAAAAAACAGCAAGTAACACATTGGATTAAATATGAAATTTTAATAAAGTATAAAAACCGAAATAGTATTTTCTTGTAAAACATACTCTGTTTTTTGTCGGGTGGGGAGTTTTTTTTTTGTGCTATTTATTACTTTATTTGCTATTTATTAAAAAATTACTTTGTACTGTATTATTATATGTATTATTCCTTTTACTTTACAATAATTATAATAAGAGCAATAATTTACCAAAAAGCAAGGATTGTTACATTTTATTTCATATTTTTATTCAATTTTACAATTGACATTGTAATATTGTGTGCATATGTATGTATATAATATTCAAATACAATTAAATATTTGAGATTTAAATAAATATTTTTGCAAATTTTTCTATTACATCTAATTTACTCATTAGCATTTGTTAAAAAAAAAAAAAATCATAATAATAATCATTTTTCTACCAGCCAGCTGTTGTACAGGATCTGTCTTTGCCTGATAAGGTGTGCGACGTCTTATCTATATATCCTTTGCATCCCTTGGGAAATTATCGTATGTCCCCATCTGCAGAAGCCTTATCAGCGAGCGCTGATGTTCCCAGGTAATAAAAGTACAGCAACCTGCCTGTGTGTGTTGTGTTCGGTGTGTGGAAGCCTATTCCCTCCGTGGGAGCCCTGAGGCCAGTTAACCATGAAATAATTGATGCCTCTTCTATTGTGGAGGACGCCTCACCCACTGGCCTCTGAGTGTGGGAAAGCTAATCCTGACTGGGACTCATGGCTTTGTAATGCTAATGAGCTCCTATAAATAGAGGAGCACGACCCTCATTCCCAACACAACTGACTCGCTCTCCTCAGAGAAACATCTCTCCATCTGAAACAATGGCTCCGACCTACATGACTGACTACTCTAAACTTTCCAACAAGGAAAAGCATAAAGTAAGTATTTTTGACATTTGAAACACAATTGTTTCTCTATATTTCTCTTTTGTTCTGCTATGAATTTTGAATCACAGAACTAACCGGATGTCTCCTTCCTCAACAGTTGAGAAAACCAGTGGTGGAGAAGATGCGCAGAGATCGCATCAACAACTGCATCGAGCAGCTCAAATCCATGCTGGAGAAGGAGTTCCACCAGCAGGATCCAAACACCAAGCTGGAGAAAGCTGACATCCTGGAGATGACGGTGGTTTTTATGAAACAGCAGCTGCAGCCCAAGACCTCGGCTCCACAGAAAGCCCACTTTGACGGCTATTCCCAGTGTTGGAGGGAGACCGTGAGCTTCTTATCTGGAAACACCAAGGTGGATGCTGTACGTCAGCATCTGAACCACTGCCAAGAAGCCCAGAGATCATCTAAAGACCTCACTCACATGTCTCCAGCTTCCCATCAGTCCACCAAGGTGAAGCAGGAACCATGTGCTCACAGACCTCTCTGGAGACCCTGGTAGATGATGAAAGACTTTGACAGAAAAACTAGATGGTGGTTTTACCATCTCTTATATTGTAGGAGATACACATTTCCATTTCTATGTTCATTTCAATTGCTTCATATTGAAGTTTCAACTGTTTTATTCTTAATAAGATTTGTAAGACATATGCCTTGAATTTCTCTAGAGGCTTTTTTTTCTAATCCTAATGTTGTTTGGCTTGCAAACAGTGAGTTTGCTCTGAATCAGAGCTCTTTGTATGGTCCTGATTGATGTTCATTTGATACAGACTTTTGTAAAGAAAAAAAAAAAAAAAAAAAATTATATATATATATATATAAATAAAACTGAAATAAGATTAATAAAAAAACTATATAGACATATTTATTATTATTAATAATAATAATAATGACAAAAACAACAAAATAACTAAAACTTTACCTAAAATTAAAATGCATAACAACAAAAATATTAAGCAATTCAAGATATTAAAAGAAACTATAAAAGTATCTCAATGATACTAAAAGAACAATCATTAACTTTGAGGTACAGCCAGTTTATTTTAGCAGATTAAATATTAAATAATTGGACAGTTTCATATCGAAGGTCTAATGTGGTAACTAATTTGGTAATTTTCTCAGTTGCTGACCTCCAAACTCAGAAACACAATTGAAGTATCATACGTTTAAAAGTAAAACTTTTTAATTATGCAAGAATGCTGAATTTTTTTTCAACATTCTGTTTTATATTATAATATAACATTTGTTATATAATCATATGTAATAAATATGCCTTAGAAAGCAAAGAATCTACATAGACATATTACTTGTGTGTCATTAAAAAAATTCTAGGTTAGCACACCAGAGTTTTTTTTTTTTTAATCACTTAGAAACATCATGCTGGAGTGGGGAGTGATGACACACAAACACGTTCCATTTACAATGCTTTGTCTGCATGGGTCTGAAGCGTCTGATGCTTTCCCACACTCATGGGCCAATCACGAGGCTGTCTGTAACACTTGATAACATCAGCAGCTTGGACCTGGACAGGAGGAGGAGGGGGGATCCTGAAAGGGGATCTAACAGCCACTATTTGTGTCTATACCTGTGTGTGTGTGTGTGTGTGTGTATTTGTATGTGTTCACTAGAGGTGTGGCGTCTCCTGATTGATTACACCGCCTCACACCCTCAGAGACCAAAGGCTTCCCACTCCTGTAAATTCAGCAGAGGCACATGGCCACCCTGACGTCTACTGTATTTGCCCTACAGTCCCATAAAATGCGTCTCACCTTCAGTGCATGTGGCGTGA